TGGAGGCTGAAAAGAAAAATCATATAAAACTTTTAACCCCCTCAAATTGAAGGGGATTTAAACTTTATATGGTCATAATTTTCGAACGCTGAGAAATAATACTTTGAAACTTAAAATTTATCGATGAATATAAGTCTAAATGAAAATAGTACAAAATTTTATCAACTTGTTGTCCCTCACGTTTGGTGTGTGTGTGTGTTTGGAGGGGGGGGGGGGGATGAAGTTAAAGGGCTTTTTTTGTTCCCAGCCTCCAATCATCGCAATATTTTGTACAACCTCATTGTTTGACACTAGTATAAACATACTAATGTTTTGAGTTTGCTTCATGTGTGGAAGTTAGCTACCTCAATTACTAAATAATCCTGGATCCGTCACTGCTTAGATTCCTAATTTTAATTTCAGGTTCTTAAAGCAAAAAAAAATTGAAAATCTGAAGGAATCCAAGTAGATGCACTGACAGCAAAAGTTCCACTTTAAAACTTTTTGGATCACACAGTCAAAAATTAAAAAAAAATCTAGCATGCATCTTTAAAAAACTTTACAAACTTTCAAAGCATAAAATCAACTTTCCTATAAAACCATTTGTTCCTTATAATTAAGATATTCCTGGAAGATGTCTTTTTACTTGAGCAGCTTAAGGACTCTGTTCAGGAATCTCTGAATCTTTGCTTCTACTTCAAATTTAACCTAGATGGAGTTGATTCATTTGCTAGAATCTATCAAAAGAACTAAAGTGGGAAAGTTCCAGATGCCAAAGCCTTGTCTCACAAATGATTCCGCTTCAAGCCAAAGATAAATGCAACAAATATATGATTTTTTACAAAAACAAGGATGCTAACAGTGGCAGTTCATACCATCCTATTAGAGTAGCAGTTGAATTTGAATTGAAACAAAACCTAGCTTGTAAAATAGCCAGACTCCAAGAAGAGATTCTAAACCTTCAAGATCTTATTCTGGTAGATTCTCCAAAGGTAAAGCACTTTAATATTTTTCTCACTTTTGCAATGTGATACAAGGAACTTCTAGAATAATTAGTTCAGCTATTAATTTTACAGGTGATTGTGATATACAAAGGTATATTTTGCATGATTGATGGAAAGGTTCTGAACTAACTGACTGCATGTCAATCAACTTGTAATTTCCTATTATGCCATCAATTATCAAGACTAATGTCAAATCCTTTTTCTTTCCTGTCAAAGATGGTGTTTCGGATTATGGAGCAAGTATTTTGCATTCTGGAATTCGCTCCTTTAAGGTCATTTTGCATCTTGATTATAAACAAGATTTGAAGAAATCTCACACCGTGTATTCAGAGGATGAAATGGCTAAAATGAAAGTAAGAGAAGAAAAAGTCAAGAAAAATTTCAAGGACTACCAGCGCAAAGAAGGTGGAGCGGGCACAATAACAACAGGAAATGTTACAAGAGTAGCATTTCAATATCCAGGTATGACATATTTTTTGTCTGATGATGAAAGCTTGATGGCTTTTCGACCTTGCAGATAGAATAATTTATATTTTAAGAAACATTTTCCTGAGTGCCAAATATTTGAAGCAACTTTTTTTAAAAATACTTCAGTACAACTTTAGGAACAAAAATAAAGTTCGGTATCAATTTTAGTCATGATTTTTCAAAATTATTAAACTTTTTCCAGCTGTCATCTCACAGCTTAAATTTGTGGCATTCCTGAACCTCTTGTCAGAAACTTGGCTACAATTTGGGGTGCACTAGCATGTGACTTCACCTTGAATGCTAAAGCATTTGGAAGACTTTGTAATAAAACTAAGGCAATCTACTGTGATCATTGCAAATGGTTTCAAATCACACCAACTCTTCACAAAGTTCTCTGTCATGTTAAAGCTATGGTTAAAAGTTGTCTCTTTTCCATAGTTGTAGTAGCTCTTTTTGATGTTGACAAAGAGCCTAGAGAAACCCGCCATGCTTTTATGAGCTTGACCAAATTTGATCATGCCAAGAAGACTTAATGAAAGTGATGGGTTGAATGACTTGTTTTTGCGTTTGATGAATTCAAGTGACCTTGTGGTCAGAAGTTTGTCAACAAAACACAAAAAATAGAAGAGTTATTTATAACCTATTTCCAAAGAAATTTAGGAAGTTGCTTTTAACTCCTCTTTCGAAAGTAGTTAGTGAGTCCCAATCTGATTCTTAAAATGACCTTTGAATTTTACTGACTTTAGTCTAGAAAATTATAAATACTATTCAGTTTTTAGTCCAGCTAATCAATTTTTTTATTTAAAAGTATTACCGTGTTCACTAGGCTAGAGTGAACTTATACTTTGATAAAAATTTTCCATATTTTTTGCCTTATTACTGCTATTTTAACTTTATTTGGTATTAAAATAAGTTTTTTTTCCGATACTATTATTACCCAAAACTGATAATAACAAAAACTATTGAAAAAATCCCATGAAATAACTTTTTTGCCTGTTGATTGCTCAATTAAACACTTTGCCCTAGCCATACATGTGGCATTGGTTAGCATGAAGGCGTAAACTTCCTGGTTAAATGCAATATCGGGGTTTTCTGTGATATAATCATAAAGACTTCTTGAAATACATAAATAATTAAAAAATTAGAAACCTCGTTCTTTAAAATTTTTAAATAATTTGCAGAATTGACAGTCTTACCTTGTTAGTAGTGATTTTTTTTTTTTTTTTTTTTTGTCTTTTTTTTATATATATATATTTGCCGTTTAAATATTGTTACAATAATGAATCGTATAAATTGAATTTACATGGCAGAAGCAAAAAGAAGACAACTGTAGTCTTATCACTAAGCCCCAAATCACAATTTCTAGTCAATGCTTAAAAATGATAAAGTATTAGAGATCGAAGCGTGAGTTTGGTGACTGGCAAATATTAACTTTTTGTGCTTTAAACTGCTTAACTTGCGTTTTGTTGGAGAACATAAAACGTCACGACATTTAAACAATTTAATCTTTGTATGTTTTTTTCAAAATTTAAAACAACCACGAATATTTTTTCGAGAAAAGTGTGGCTTCATTGCAGCACGCTACGATTGAAGTTTAAAGTTCTTCGCGTTTTCTTAGCGGACAATAACATTCACATTAGGAGGCTGTTAAGTGAGAATTTATGAGCTTGAAATCTCTGTCTTTTATAGCCAAAAAGTGTATTACATTGTTGGTTTTTGAAGTGGTAATTCTTGGTCAACCACAGAATTTTCTTGTATTGACGCCTTCTTTTGATTTAATGTGTTTGAATTATATAGTGAACAGTAGTTTAGACAATCTCAAACGTGTAGTAATTACTAGCTCAAACTAGCCGTGTTCTATTAAAAGTTGTGTTTGTTTACGTTTAGCTAGTAATGTTGTAGCCATACTCTAATAAGATAATAATTGAACTATACATTATTTTTATGTATATATGTTATATTTCTTATAAGTTAAGAGCATATATGTTATCCTATAAGTTAAGAGCATATATGTGTATAAGAGCATATATGTTATATTTCCTATAAGTTGATAAATACACAATCATGCTCGCAACGCGTGATTGTTTTATGTGTTGTTGGACCGCATATTTTGCATTTATTAGTAACTATCTATAAAAGTTATGAGTTTTTGGATCTTTTCGGTCATAACTGTATAAAATATGATATTAGACACTTATCTAATGCCCAATAAGAACTACTACTAATAAACTGTACAATTTGTTAATGGAAACATTCATTTTATTGTTCAATCTAGGAATATCTTAATTATAAGGAACAATGAAAAAAAAGGGCAATATATTAAAGGTTATATACAAAATTGTTATAGATTTTTGAGAGATTTTTAGAAAAGGTTGCAAAACTAAGAAAATCTTTAATACAGCGATGAACATTTTTGTTTATTTGCTATTTTTGCCTGTTAAATTGGAAAAGGAGTGCAACGTGTAAACTACGAAACTATCTTTCATTTTTTCTAGTAAAAAAAATAGAATAAAGTATAGAAAATATTATGTATGTATAGAAAATATTGCTGACAAAAATGCTGCTCAAATTTTGGATAATTATTACAAATGAAATCAACTTAATTGCGATTATGTTTGTTTGTGGCCAAATGCAAATGAATAAAGTTTTTTTTTGGAATTTTTTAATGATTTATTTATCAAGAGGAGGCCCAGTGGCAGTGGCGGATTAAGACTTCTTGGGGCCCGGGGCTATTTTTGTTTTTGGAAGCCTTTTTATGGGCCAGAACCTAAAAATGACCTAAAAAAAAAAAAAAAGGTCCTCTAAATTTTCTGGGGGCCCCTAAATTTGCGGGGCCCGGGGCTATAGTCCCCCTAGCCCTCCTTGATCCGGCACTGCCCAGTGGGCACGGACGTAAAAAAGACGTCTTTGAAACGTCTTATACACGTTTTACATAATACACTCTCTATTTACTTAAATTGATCTTCGGGTAATGGCGATTGAAATGCTATTTATATTAAAGTCGATAAAACTCTGTTTCAAGTTTTTATTTTCATATTGTATTATACTAATAAATCTATAACTTATGTAAATGCATTTCTGCACAACTCGTGAATTTTAATAAATCCATTATGTAAACTTTTCTTATTGTTTTATTGAAATAATATTAATGCATAAATTGATATTACTTAATTATTCTTTTATGCATAGTTGAACCAATAAGCGGATACACACTGCTTTATTGATTGAACTATTTATGCATAAATACTGTTTTCTAATCTAATCAGATTTAAAAAAAAATACTTTAGTTTCATTGTATTTGTATCTTACATTCATATTGTGATATTTTGATTGAGATTCATAACTGGTTGTCTATTTGATTTTTTTTTAAAATACTTTACGTGCCAGCATCCAATTAATTTAACCTAATAATGCCTTGTTTGATAGCAATTAATAAAATAAACATACGCCTACATACCATGATTCATTGTTCATAAACTCTTTTTCGCTTTGTCTTTTCCATATAAGTAAGTTAAAGCGTTATCCTGGGTTGATTAATTTTATTCATATAAGCAGTTAATGAATAATATTAAGCTTACGAAGGTGAATTATTCAAAGATATTATATTACCTAACTTTTTAAATAGTATTTAATACAGAAGAGTTTACAAAAAATATATGCATATACTTTAATTTATCTGTAAGTATTGAATCATATAAACATACTATAAATTTTTTTTAAGATTTTTTTGTTGTTGTTCTTTAATCATAATTTATGCAGTTTTCAAAACTTTTTTTAAATATAGGATTGCTATTTTTAAATTACGTTTCTGCTTTAAAATAAAACTATTTGCACCAATTATATTATTGCAATTTCACTATTATAAGGTGTGACGTAAATATTTTCTCACATTCATTAGTGTTAAACAAGCCATCATCAATTTATTATTTTTGCAGTTTTTTCTTTGCTTATTTTCCAAAAATAGTTTTTTTTAAATAGTTTGGCCGATATAAAAAGGTGTGTACGCAAAGCATACAATTTTTCCCTTCAAAAAATGTAACTTTCTATAATGAGGGGAATAAGTACCAAAGGGTATGAAGGAAATTAAAGCTCAGCACTAATAATAAGTAATCAACAAAACAAGCCGGTAGCCGGTTCATTCTACACCTAAAATATAAAACATAGAGTTAAAATTTAAAATATAAAACAAAAACTGATTCATTCTACACTTGTAAATTACAAAACAAAAACTGGTTCATTCTAAACTTATAAAATATATTTATTGACATATTTCACATATATAATTATTATATTAACTCATAATGAGACTCAGATGATGAGCACGCAACATGTACCCATGCTCCATAAATTAAATGCTGCATCATTTTCTCCTTAACGATCTTATCACACACGAAGCATTACCAACCTTCCCTTTGTTATTTTTAGACGTTAGACTATTTTGATCTTCCTGCCCCTTCAACCTACTTGCACTAGTGGTACATTTATTTTTCTTGCCATTTTTCTTATTTAAATTTTGACTTGGTTTCTTTTTGTAACTGACAGTTATTGACTAAGTTTTGGGGTCACAAGCTCTTAAATAAAAGTTGCTTTTATATAGACTTGATTATAATATTTGAAAGCTTTCTTTTTCGTTTTTTTTTTTGCATCTTGATATGTACAGGAATTTGTGAAATATGTTTCAAAGGGATATGTAGAAAATTCTATTTTCACATGCTGATTTCTTAGAAGTAAACAGTTTTAGTGACCAACATTCTCCACAAACCTGGTAGTCATAATACTATTAATAGCTGGTGATGAGGATGAAAATTCAACCATATCATTTTTTATTACACCACTGCGTTTAGAGTTGTGAACAATTATTGGTCTTTAAATAAGTTTGGTGTTAGCAATAAGTTCTAGCTCTCCAGACATGGTTACTGCGTTAAACATGTCTTCGACTCTCACTAAAAAGTTTTTATACCATTTATGAGGTGTCATATTAGCTCAGATAGTTCCTTGGTCAAGTTTCTAATAGTCCCTAAGATTGTAGCACATGTGCTCTTAACAGATCAGCTAAAGATTTCATCCCTTGTGCAGATGAGCTAAAGATTTTTCTTCGAACATTTGTTGAAAGTCCTTCCAATATCATCTCTGTCAACTTTTTAAAGTGATTAATTAAGACTTATTAAAACACTTCTAATAAAAACTATGATAATCTTTTCAAATGTTTGAATGGGACTTGGTGTCTAAGGTAGCGCAGCCGATTTGTCGGGTTGAAAAGTTGATATTAAAATAAGTTGAAAGGTCTGCGATGTCGCAAGATGGATGTTTCAAGCTAAAAGGTTTGCGATATAACCGGATTAAAAGGACATGAAGTATTATTTTTTAAAAAGGAACCGTGACAGGATTTACATCATGGATGACTTATGCTGCAAAAATATCATTGCACATTGAGGTAACCTTAGGAAAAGCATGCCCATGCCACATGAAGTTACACAAATGAAACGTGGTTATTCCTCCTCTGGTTATTCCGCAGCCACTTTCAACCTCTTAATCATAATATGCTTGCATTGGCTTGAAAATATGTCATAAGGTTGCATGCGATATGCATTATGTTTTTTTTTTTATTTTTTTTTTTTTTTTTTTATTACAATATACTATAGTATAAATATCGTTGTACATTAAATATCAGAACACGGAGACTTAAAGAGGATCGTAATATCCTGTCACTGAGAACCGTTTAACAATGCAGTAAAAATATAACCAGTTAAATAATTACAATAAATGACGTTTAGAAATAAAATTCAAATCTAACCAGATATTTCAAAACATAAAATAACGTTTAACAACATAAAGAATATATACAAAACTAAATATTTTAAAATAAAACAATATATTCAGAATCACACACTTTTTTAAAAGGCACAAACTCAAAAGAACTCAAAGATATTATCAATTGACAAGATAAATTTTTTCAGCTTAACTTTAAAAGTAAGAAAACTTCAACTTTGAGAAAATTTAAAAACTATTTTGTTCCACAGAAGAGCTCTGCGATATGTTAAAAGAGATCTTCCAAAACTTGTCTGAGAATAATGTTGATGAATAAGATTGTCATTTCTTAAGTCATATTTTTGTTTTGTTTTATTGCATACAAACTTTGAAAGAATATAGGGGTTAGGTTTATCTTACATTTGTACCTAAATAAAGGAACATTAAAAACATTTTACTGGTATATATTAAGAACATTCATTTCTAATAAAAGAGGTCTGGCATGAGTATAACGATCTTTAAAGTTTATTAAACGTACTATATGCTTCTGTTGCCGATATAGAGGATCTAGTTGAATTTTTTTAGCACTACCCCATGCGATATTTGCATAGTTTATATGGCATTGAATTAGCAAGTGATAAAGTTGAATTAATGAATGTCTATTTACAAATTTTCTCACTTTATACATTACTCCAATATATTTTGAAACTTTATTGCGCAAAATTTTGATATGGTTTTTCCAAGTTAGATTTTCATCAATGAAAACACCAAGGAAATTTATAGCTTTTGATTTTTTTGTTTGAACATTGTCAATATATATTGTAGGCATATCATTTAGTAAAAGTCTTTTTTGGGATTTTGAATGAAATAAAATCCATTTAGTTTTTCCAAGTTAATTGGTAGTTTATTTGACTTAAACCAATTTGAAATTTTAATTAGTTTTATGTTGATTTCATTAAATAGTGTAATGATATTTTTACGGGATAGAAAAAGATTTGTATCACCAGCAAACATTACTGTCTTCAAATTTGAGGCATTGTGCAGATCATTAACATAAATAAGAAAAAGTAGTGGCCCTAGGATAGACCCTTGAAGAACAGCAAATTTAATAAATTTCTGTTGATTCCATAGTTTTTGAGTTTTGTATAAGAATCTCATGGTCTATTGTATCAAAGGCTTTTGATAGATCAATGAAAACTCCAAGAGTAAATTGTGATTTCTCAAAAGAATCTGCAATGTTATTAGTTACACGAAGTATGGTGTATTCCGTGGAATTATTATTTTTGAATCCATATTGACTGGCATTTAATATTTTATTTTTAGAAAGATGTTCATATATTTTGTTGTAATGAATCCTTTCAAAAACCTTTGAAAAGCCAGAGAGTACAGATATTGGTCGATAATTAGTTATATTTGATAATTCACCACCTTTATATATTGGTGTAACTTTAGCAATCTTTAGTTGGTCAGGAAATATTCCTTGTTTTATTGAGTAACTAAACTCTTTGAATAGTATAATATAATATATAATAATGCTACTATTTATTTTGTCATGACCTTTTGCATTATTAGTTTTTAGCATTTTATAAGCACATTCAAATTCTTTCATTGAAATTTCAAAATTATTAAGTACAGAAATTTTGGAAAGGCTAAAATAATTTGTTTGTTGGTTACAACTGGAATATTTTTTGCTAGATTAGGACCAACAGATACAAAACAGTTATTTATCTGATTAGCTATATCTTTTAGATTATATATGAAATCATCATTGTTTCTAATAACTTTAGGTAAATTATGCGACGGAAGGCTCAGCCAAATCCTGACAAAAAAGTATTTAGGTTTTTTTTATGGGTGGGATGATTATCTTAAAGTAAAAAAATAGGATGTTCCTTTGATGGTTTTATAAAACTCATGTCAGGCTGCCTTTTTATAAAAGAATTGTACCGGTCTTTGCTAGCGATTCTTTTAACTTTATTAAAGTTATTTGACAAGTTGTTAACATCTTCTATCAGGTTCTTTATTGTGATGCCAAACATCATTCCTTCTAGCAGAAGAATGTGCTTGACAACAAGTATAACAACTAAAATGACAAAGTATAAGTATAATGTTTACAATGACTTAAAAGTACTACAGATCGGGTAACTACTGTTTACTGTACTGGTAAGTACTTTTTCCCCTAAAATTAGAGGAACGATTTACTCAACTTTGATTAAAAAAAATTTTTTTTTCAATGTTTTAATGAAGTAGAATGAATGGACTAACACAAAAAAAATTATAAATAAGTTATATATATCCACGCCTTCAAGACGCGACAAGCAGGACAGTGTAATTATTACATCAAATAGTGTAAAAAATTGAAAACCTCCTTTTCTTCTACGTTCAATTCCGATTATTTTTAGTTCTGTATTCATTCTACATCTGCTTGCTTGATTTTATTGTTTTTTCGAATTGCGCAGCGGTACTAGTTACCCGCCTTTTTCCTACTGTTATTAACAATAGTCAATTAAATATTAATTGACTTATTAATTTAACTCCTGTAAAATTACAGATAAAATGATAATTTTATCTGTAATTTGACAGGAGGAGCTGCAAGTATTCGTAGACAGCATAGTTGCCTCACCACTTGTCAGTAATGTACTGCCTCAGCAAATATATTTTTTCGTGCTGTACCCACGTATTGAACACTTAGTTGTTACTGATGCTACTAATTAGGTCATCGAAGGTACTTCTCGACGTCATCAATCATATTTTAGATTAAATACTAACTGGTGCACACTTATGGGTGAATTTGATTATTCTGTAGACTCACCGTTAGTTATTTATAATGCAATAAAACCGGTTTTTTTTTTTAACAAACTTCTTTTTTACAATGCATGCAGCACGCATGCAACCGATATTTAAGTTAAGATTTACTAGAAAGTAAAGAGAGA